GCCCCCCCCCCCCCCACCACCACCACACACACACACGCGCACGTCTACATCCATAAGATTAGATATTATCATTTGATCAAAATATTTTATTAATTGTTTGACTTGGTATGCTTTTGGTTTTGACAAAAAAAGGTATTGAAAAGAGAGAAATGTTTGACCTGGCAAGGAATGCCATTGGTTTCATCTTTGCTGATGATGGAGTCAAACTTGAATTGGAGCAAATATTTGATTTAGCTGCTGAAAGGCTACAATTGTGATGGAGCAAATATTTCAATTAGCCTCTAGAGCCTTGTGATCATTGAAATCCCAGAATTCATTCTGCTTTGTAAATCTTAATATTGATTCAATCACATCTGAGGAACAAAACAAACACCTCTTGAAATCCATTGCATTGTACATTCTCCTTTTTTCTCTGGGTTTGTCCCATCAAACAAGTGAAACATGTGCTCCTACAAACGGAAAAAAAAAACCTTTTTTTCATTCTAATGTTGTGGATGCGTTTTTGTCTTTTGGAACAAGCAGGCACTCCACGCCATCTCCATCGGCTGTGCCATTCCATTCTTCATCGGGTGTGGCCAAGTACTCGAGGGCGCTCACAATGTCCCCAATGAGAGGTCGTGTGTTAGCTTCATCTTGAAGACACATGGCCGCCACGGCAAGAGCCTGATACATCCCTTTTGTAGGGTAGTTCCCTACAAGCAATGGATCCGCCAATGTTCTAAACTTTTCTCTATCGTTCAAAAGCGGTTTCGCCTACAAAGTGATATGTAACAAGATTGAAACAATTATTTTGACCTCTCAGTGCAAATAAATGATAGAACTAGCCAATGTATGAACTAACCCATGAAATCAGGTTTTGTTCCTCAGTTAATCTCGCATTATCAATCACTCTCCTTCCAGAAATTATCTCCAAAAGTACAACTCCAAAGCTATAGACATCAGATTTGGTCGTAAGTTGTTCCCCCGACTTAACATACTCGGGAGCACAATACCCATAGGTCTCCATTATCCTTGTGAATGCACTGTCTTTTTCTTCGCTCAAACTAAATTTTGCAACACCAAAACCAGATAACTTCGAGTTGAAGGACTCGTCCAATAGCACATTTGATGTTTTGAAATCGCGAAATATTATCGGAGGATCAACCGTGTCGTGCAAATACTCTAGCCCTTGCGCTGCACCCTTGGCAATATGCATCCTAGTATACCAATCAAGATGGTTTCTACTGGGAGGCAAATCTGAGAACAACATTATTATAGTTACAACTTATAAGTTACAACAAACAACATGATTTTTGACGTATTCTTTATAAACCAATCTATAGAATGAATACCAAAAAGATGGTCTTGCAAAGAGCCATTGGGCATGAACTCAAACACTAAAATTCTTTGGTTCCCATCTGCACAATATCCAATGAGATTCACAAGATTTGGGTGGTGAACAAGACTTAAAGTCAAGATCTCAGCTAGGAATTCTCTATTTCCAAGAACTCCATTTCTATCTAGTTGCTTCACTGCCACCATCTATACACAGACACACATGTGAGCAAAACATGCATAACCAAGAAGAAGACTAATCAATTAAGAAACATTCAAAATGAAAGCAAGCCAAGGGATGACCTTATTAGTTCTTCTAATATGTCCTTTGTATACCCTCCCAAAGCCTCCTTCTCCCAATAGCAGATCAGGGTTAAAATTGTCGGTGGCTTTCGCGAGTTCGCAGAATGTGAACACTTCAGCCTCAACTCTCATTTCTCCATACCGAAGAACGTCCTCAACTATCATTTTTTGCTTGCTCCCCCCTACACCTATCATTCATTCATCACATTTTTCCATTAACCCATGAATTCCGATGTGAAAATATTGCATTAGCTAAATATGAATTAACCAACCCCTTCAATGAATTAGGTCGATAAAAGAGAAGAGAATTTTCTGGACGAGTTAGGTCAAGTACTTATTCATAAATGAAAATGTCATGATCATCTATATTTCTGAACATTAAGAGAATCAACCATTCAACCTGCCTGATTTCATAGAAATACTTCTGGCAATGGAAGAAGAAGCCAGGGGTCTTGCATCATCATCGTATCGACCCGAAGTCCTTGCCTCATTCACAGAACTTTTAGAGCTTTTAAGGGGATTCTTCCTCATTTTTATTGTTTCAAGAAATCATTCGAGAATTTTAAAAAGAAAATTACCTGCAAGAATGATAATGGGAAAAGGAAGATTTTAATTTCAATATAACAATGATAATGAACTAGAAAAATAAACATTTGTTATCAAAAATCAATCAGAAAATCTCTCACCAAAAATTATGATGAAATGAAGAGAAAAGGATAGATAAATTTGTGTGATGTAGAAAGAATTAATTTCTTTTTTGATCGGCAATGTGTTTCTTAACCAAGTTTTGCATTCGTAATAACTAACTTTTTCCATGTAATTTGTTTTTTGGAAAAGTTATTGAAATTTAAGAATTTGGACCCAAAACAATTGCTCGGATGAAATTTCCTTTCTTCTCAAAAAGAAAAAGTTATTGTACACACATTTTTTACCTTCCAAGAGGCATTAGAGAAGCTCGTGTGCAATACTTCCTCCCTTAACACATTTCCGTTTTAGATATCTCACAAAACTTTACACTTTGTTTCGTATTTCTATAGTGAATATGGAACTATCAACACTTTTCTCTTCTCTAAACAAATCTTTATTAAATATTTTTTTACGTTTCAACCACTTTCTTAAGCTAAAGTGTCAAGAATTTTATAGGACGGATGAAGTACTCTCCCAATTTCAAAATAAAATTACACATAAAATTACACCATTGTTCAAACATATTTATTTATATAAAGATAAACATGCACTTTGTATTATTGAGTTATGTACACAACGAAGAGAGAAATTGCGTGAAAAAAACATTTTTGCTCTTTACAAGTCCTTAGAATGAACATGTACTCCTTACCCTTTTTTACTTATCCCATGAAAAATAATCCCATGAAAAATACTCCCTCCGTCCCAAAAAGAATGAGACAGTTTGACTTTTTGGGAAATTAAGGGATTGATATTTTGGTATTGACTTTCCAAAAATACTCTTGATGTGATAGGTAAAAGTAGGATGTGATGGGTAGATTATTAGAAAAAAGATATGATGTGATAGGTAGGGTATGAAAAAGTAAGGGGTAAAAGTGGGTTTTTAATATAAATGTAACGGACTTTACGGGACGCAGTTTTTTCTAAACGTAACAAACTTTTTGGGACGGAGGGAGTATAAGAGTTCATTTTTAAAAATGACGAGAATTTTTGTATATTTGCGTATTTTAATTGATTATTTGATTAAATAAGTTATTTTGTTCACTTCTTGTTTTGTTCGGAGTAGAAATTTTGACGTCATTTGTAAATATGTAAATTTTATTTTATTTATTTCTAAACCAATTTTTGATAAAATGAATTATAAAAAGTTTAAAATTTCATTTTGTTTTGCGTAATGTATACTTCCTCCGTCCCTAAATAGATTACAATTTTTTCTCTCATCTCGATAACTTTTGTTTGTTTACGCGATTTCATTAAGTATTTGATAAAATAAAATATTCTTGTCACCTCTTGTTTTGTAGAACTTTTGACATAGTTTTTTAATATGTAATTTGTATTTCTTATTGATATACCAATTTGTTAATATAATAATTTCAAAAAGTAAGAAATTTTACTTCGTAACCCGCAATTTGTAATCAAATTGGGGACTATTGGAATATATTGTATCCACAAACCAAGTCATTCAATTCTAAAATTCTACATGGTATCAGAGCGATTCTTGGGACAACCCTAAGACTACCGCACCCATACACGTCCATCCGGCCGCCGCTCGTTCCAGCTGCCGCCTCTCCGGCACACAGCCGCCGTTCGTCCACCGCTGACATCTCAGCCGCCACCCATCACCGACACCATGATAACCGAAACAACCACGAAGACATGGTTAATTCATGATCCATCCACGATTTATTATCTTCATACGTAATGCTCTAGGAGGACGGGGCAAGGCTATTTTCTTGATACCTGATGGCGTTCCCAAACCCAAAGATGAACGAGAACTCGCCGCTTGGGAATCTAACAACTCTATCATATGTAGTTGGATTTTCAACAGCGTGGATGAGTCTATTCAACCAAGCATCGTCTCTCACTCCGTTGCGTTCGTTCTGTGGTCAGATCTGAAAAAGGGGTACAGTACCTCAAATGGCCATCGTATTTACCAATTAAAAATAGAATTGAACGCGCTACGGCAAAAGGGGCAAACCGTGGTTGCATATTACAATCAATTCATTACTCTATGGAATCAGCTGCATGAAACCGGCAATCTTACCGGCGGTTGTACATGTACCGCCGCCGCTACTACACGAGCAAAATTCGAACAAGAAAAGACAATTGATTTCCTACTTGGATTAGATGATGAACAGTTCGGTCCTCTCCGATCCAACCTCCTGGGGACTGAATCCATACCAGATTTGGATAGAGTTTTTCATCTCGTGTCACAAGAACTTTCGACACTGGAGCGTAACAACACTTGGGAAATCACGGATCTGCCCCCCATCGATCAGCACTGGGTTGCCAATGGGTGTTTCGTACTAAGTACAACTCTGATGGTACAAAGGAGCGTGACAAAGCCCGTTTGGTCGTCCTCGGCAATCATCAGCAATGGGGAACCGACTATACTGAAACTTTTGCTCCAGTTGCTAAGCTGGTAACCGTTCGTGTCCTCCTATCTGTGGCCGTGGCATGCAACTGGGAAGTTCATCAGCTTAACATAAATAATGCCTTTTTACATGGCGATCTACAAGACGAAGTCTACATGAAACTTCCTCCCGGCTATGGTCATGCGTTCCCAGGGAAGGTATCGCCTTCGCAAGTCCTTATACGGTCTGCGCCAGTCCCCCCGCAATTGGTTTTCAAAATTAAGTCAAGCACTGCGTCAATATGGGTTTCGTCAGGCTCATGCAGACCACACCCTGTTTGTTTTTCGCAAAGGAAGAGATATGTTGGTTGTTCTGGTATATGTCGATGATATTCTTGTTGCAGGGAATAATGGCTCTTTATGCAGATCCTTCACACAATATCTTGATGATTGTTTTAACCTCAAAGATCTTAGCCCCGTCTCTTATTTCTTGGGCATTGAATGCGCTCGCTCCAGGGAAGGAATGGTATTGAATCAACGAAAATATGCTTTGGATATCATTGAGGAAGCCGGCCTTATTGGGTGCAAACCCTTAGCTACCCCATTCAACCGGGTCACAATCTCGCTTTGTCCACAAGTCTAGAGATTCATGACCCTGCAAAGTACAAACACATCGTTGGACGTTTATTACACCTTACCCTCACACGTCCGGATATTTGTTTCTCTGTTCATGTGCTATCTCAGTTTATGCACGCTCCCCGTTTGGATCATCTCAATGCCGCTCTCCGTGTTCTTCGTTATCTTAAAGGACATCCGAGTCAAGGCATTCTCCTCCGCAGTGACAGCAATCTGGCTCTTACCGCTTACTCCGACTCTGATTGGGCAAGTTGTCCCCTTACACGGAGATCCGTTACTGGTTACTTCATCCTCCTTAGGGGTTCGCCGAGCCCATGGCGTTCCAAGAAACAAACAACCGTGTCACGCTCATTGGCTGAAGCAGAATATCGAGCCATGGCAAACGCTTGTGCTGAGCTTCGTTGGATCCGCGGCCTTCTTGCCGCCCTATCCGTGCCGTGCGTCGCCATCCCCATGCTCTACTGTGACAATAAATCTGCATCATTCATTGTTGCCAATTCTGTATTTCATGAACGCTCCAAACACATTGATATTGATTGCCATATTGTTCGTGAGTGTCTTCTCCGTCAGCAGGTCGTTACGGCCTACGTTCCTACTCGTCTTCAGATTGCTGACATTTTTACAAAGGCACTTTCTGGCCCACTCTTCCAATTTCTACCATCCAAGTTGGGCATTATTGATCTTCATGCTTCAACTTGAGGGGGAATATTGGAATATATTGTATCCACAAACCAAGTCATTCAATTCTAAAATTCTACAGGGACGGAGGGAGTATTCATTTTGTGATGAGGGGAGTATTTTTTAGGACTTTTTTTAAAATAATGTTAAAGTCATCAAAATCAGGTAAAGACAGAAAGAAAGGAAAAGAAAAAAAATCTGGAATGTACAGAAAAAAATCTTTAGATTTTAGAAACACAATAGTAAAAATTTATTTAGAACGAAAGAAAAATATATAAGTCACATTTTCTTTATTTTATGAAATATTAAATAAAAAAGTAAATTTATTATTCTAAAATCAATTTTTTTAAAAGACAATTAATTTGAAAAGGTGAAAATAAGAGTAAAAAAACTGAGCAGGACAATAATTGCGTATGAACTCCTAGAACTTGGTACACCTTCAAGATTAAAAAAACATTCGAATCGCTAAAGTATTGGACGGCAAGCAATCGATTTTCTCCTCCCAATTCTCCTTCCTTTTGTGTGTTTTCTCGATATTGACTCCTACCGGGAAGAGAAGCATGACGCGAGTAACACCGCCGGATCCGGTCGCCGGCAGTGCTTCTCCGGTGCCGCCGAACTGGTGGGATAAGATCAACGAATCAGTTGAATGGCAAGATGGGATCTTTTACTCTCTCTGTGCTGCCTATGCCCTCGTATCTGCCGTCGCCCTTGTATGTATCGTACTCTTCTTAGTCTTCTTCTCACTGCACAAGAATAATATATAAGCTGCTCAAATATAATGCTCCGTGATAATGTTCATAGCTGCTAACTTTATTGATTCCCAATCTCATTTTCATGTCTAGGGTTTTTCCCTTTCCTCCTTACAAATTGGGTATTTGATTTTTTTTTTCAGTACAAGTGTTTGGAGATGAATGTTTGAGTTGGTTGTGCAGATTCAATTGATAAGAATTCAGATGAGAGTGCCCGGGTATGGCTGGACAACACAAAAGGTTTTTCATCTCATGAATTTCATTGTGAATGGAGGTACAGTTGAACAATGACATAATTCGACATTTTTTGTATGCCTACGATATAATTTCTGTTTTATGTCTCCTTGTTTCAGTTCGTGCCGTTGTCTTTGGGTTTCACAAACAAGCATTTCTTTTCCATCCCAAGGTATGTCGGTTTCGATCCCCCCAAAAGATCTCTTGTGTCCCTTAAACATTTAGTATTAGTTTAATCGTCACCTTCTATGTCATCAAGGGACTGTATTTCTAAGTACATTTGTTATCTACGTTGGTTGTACTCGTACTTAATAATTCTGTTCATAAATTTAGATTCAGTTAAGCAATCTAAATATACAGAGTCCTTACATCTACTTGTCAGCGTAGAAAACCCTTTTCGTGAAAGGAATGCTTGTATTTTTATTCAAATAAACTTGTTTTTTCCTTGAATAAGGTTTCTGTGTGATAGTAAGACTTGAGTGTCATTTACGGAATTACGGGTTACCTATTTTCAGCGTTCTATATTTAAGACATTGCAGATACCCCTCATTGGCATTTCTTTGGGTTTTTTCCGAATAAATAAGTTAGTTGCTTAAACTAAGTAGTGTACTAAATGAACAGACAAACACTATTCCGAGCTGCCATGGGATTCATTCTTTTTCTTTTCATTCCACTATATACTTTGCATAACACCTTACACTTTTTATGCTCTTGGATTTACTGTGTCATCCAGGTGCTAACCACTGCGCTATTAGACATTCCTGGATTGCTCTTTTTCTCAACATATGCCCTTCTGGTCCTGTTCTGGGCTGAGATATATCACCAGGCAAGATCATCTCCCATTTATGGATGACGTTTTTTCAATTGATTCAGAAAAGTCATGTCTTAACTCTTAACTCTCGCACCTGTTCATGTGAGCAGGCTAGAAGTTTGCCAACTGATAAGCTCAAAACCTTTTACGTATCAATAAATGCCGGAATGTACGTCATACAGACCGGTATATGGGTCTATCTATGGTTTAACGATAATAATGCCGTGGATTTGATTGGAAAGAACTTCATAGCTGGTAAGTTTTTACATTCCATTTTTACACTTGATAAATGCTGGAGTATATATGAGTATATGCTTTTTGGGTCTTGCTTTCATGCATACATTTTTTTGTGCAGTTGTTTCATTTGTGGCAGCATTGGGGTTCTTGATCTATGGGGGAAGGTGAATAGCTGGACCTGTCCTTTATAATCAAAGCACTTTAATCTTAATCGCCATTTAAATTTATTTATGGAGTGATAATTCATTTTCTTGTGTGGATTCCAATTTGTTGTGCCACAAGGCTTTTTATCATGCTGCGACGCTTTCCCATTGAATCCAAAGGAAGAAGAAAGAAGCTCCACGAGGTTCGACCATTGTTAACATTTTGTGGATGTGCAGAAATTGCATATACTTCTTAACTTTCTGTAAGTTATTATTATATCAGCACTTGGATCATCGCCACCCATACGAATTATTGCAGGTCGGATCCGTGACAGCCATATGTTTCACCTGTTTCCTGATAAGATGCTTTGTGGTGAGGGCTTCAAACATTCTTCTTTTTTTTTTCCTTTTTTGCTCCCGGGTCGTCGTTTTCACTTATTCAAATATCTAAAAACAAATCAAAATCTACCCTGTAATCTTTTCCATGGCAGGTTCTGTTGTCTGCTTTTGATTCAGATGCTTCACTTGAAGTATTGGACCACCCTGTTTTGAATTTGATATATTACCTGGTAAGTATGCCACCCATATTATGGTCACCTTCTATCTTTCTCTCATTGTGTTCTTATAATGACGCCGTTTTTTAATTTCATGGCTAAAAAAACAAACACAGGTGGTGGAAATCTTGCCCTCGGCGCTGGTTCTATATATCCTGCGCAAACTTCCTCCCAAAAGAGTCTCTGCTCAGTACCACCCCATCCGTTAGAGAACGAGAATGGCACGTGACATACTTGTTTTAGGTGTCACATTCAGTTGATTAATTTATGCGGAATGTGTAACGTATTTGTATTTGAAGAGATGATATCAGTAAAAACCTACCAACTGAATGTGGAGAGTTATTTAATGTCAATCGAAGGTTTTATACAGTATAAGTACTTATAATGTGCTTAGGGCACGTCCCAAAATAATTTCTCAACTGGGGGTGGAGAGTCAAAATAATGTTGTTGGATGTCAAAAAGAAGGTAAAAATCTTGTGAATGAGAAGATATCCATGTAAATTTACATTTACATAAGCAAATGGAACTAAATTAGTACACATTGAAGTCGAGAGAACCTCATGAACTAAATGATTCAATTATGGTGATCTTCTCCTTCCAGAGGAGGAGGAGCTGCAAACTGGACATGGCGTCCACCCATCACCACTGGCTCTTCTGCAAACAATGATCTGATGAAGGCGGGTGTCCTCAGTGGTCGGCGTCCGGTCATCCGCGGGTAAACGTCCTCGAGAAAGTAGTATGCATGTCCTGCAATCATCCCCTGAACACCCACCATAATTTTAAAAAAAACATAATGTTGAAATTTTCTAAGAAATGGTAATAAGTTCATATCGACTTGTGGAATCGTACCAATAGATCGACCCAAGCACTAGCCCCAACGAGAACAGAGAAGCCCAAAAGCACCTGCAGCACAAAGGGAAGTCGACCCGAATGGAGTTTCCATTAGACTAGGTTTTGATTTTATTTTTTGCCTTTATCTTTCCGGCATAAGAAAAGACCTACACTAAAATGTTACTCTGTAAGCTCTAACTAATGACTGAAGTTAAGCACTGACAGAATCACAAGATGCCAAGAAACACATAGGGCACTGCACTACACATAATTATTTGAAAAAATGGAAAACAAGAAATATGTCCAGAACTTCAGAGAAAGCAGACACTGACCCATGGAAGATAAGCAGCTGTGAAAGTAAAGAGACCCAAAAAGCTCATATGGATGTAGGGATTTTGCTTGCTCCAAACATATACCTATTGTTTAGAGGGAAACAACACTTGACGAATTAAAATGAATGAACATAAAAAAGCCATAAAAGAGCTAGCGAGAGATTTTTGCAGTGCGACCAAACAAAAAACCAACCATCATAAATGTTAGTGAGTTGCTGAGAAAGATGATCTTTGCAAATGACTCTGAGACATAAGGTATCATTCCACCAATGAGAACAATTCCGGTTAGCACGGTGGCTCCAAAAAAGAGCATGTAGAAGAAGTCTGCAGTCCTTCCTCTGAAAGTGTTCTCCTCAAGGAGCTTGCAGTATCGTGCCAGGAAAAACATGTGAAACAAAAAATCCAAATCTGTTGACAAACAGGGTCAGTTCATTGTGGCAAGAAGATAATGGAGCACTTTTAAGCCATATATAACTCTGAAACAGGACATAATGTGAAGTACTCACATATAAATAATAGGAGTATTCCATATATATTTGCAATTTTAACCCATATAAAACTCTGAAACAGAACATAATGCGAAGTACTCACTTATGAATAATATTCTGTATATATTTGCAATTTTAAGCCACATAAAACTCTGAAACAGAACATAATGCGAAGTACTCACTTACAAATACTATTCTGTATAATTTTTTAAGAAGGGAAAATTTGACATCTAATCCCACGGTTGACCCCTTCTACACTAATAAGCCCGCAATTCGCATGCCTCATAGATAATCCTAAGTTTGGTCTGCATAGATACTAATGGTCTCTACTTCCCCAATTGTGAGTAAGAGATTGTGCTGAGAGGCGTATGGAAATGGGGAGTTGAAGAATCACCACAATGTCCAAACCATGGCAGTGCGACTTGCTTTAGAACTCAATGTTGGTTCAGTATTGACCATTAGCATTGACACAAAACAACTTGGAATTATTGATGAGAAATGCAAACAACAACAAACCAAGTAGAAACCCACGAGATAGTAGGTTGTGGGGAGGGTGTGTGTGTAGGCTTTACCCTTACTTGGAAGTAGAGACGTTGTTTCCAAAAGCTCGACACAAAAGCACATAAAAAGTAAATACAACACTAGACTCAAAGCTAAGAAAGCACATATGCACATGCTACAAACTTATGCAACAAGGCAAAACAACTCTAATCTTAGTTGTCCCCCCTTATCTAAGGTCATATCCTCGGTAAAGTATTGAAATCGTAAGTTCTGTCTAATAACCTTCCTCCAACTCTTCATAGATTTACCTCCAACCATAATCACACTCACTAGTCACTACCGCAAGCCTCCAGCATATCTTCATTGGGGCCTGAACACTACTCCTCTGGACACTATTGGCCGTATTTTTTTCTTAAAAAATGATGAACATCCAATACAAAAAGAAAACAGAAAACTATCAAAGGACAGCAGTATGATCATCTGGAAAGGTCAATACCCATTTTCCTGAAGTAGAGAAAGTTGGTAATGAGGCGCCAGAACTGGTAATGCGTCACCACCAGCTTGGGATTCAAGTATAAATTGTACGGAGATATAATCTGCAACAAAAAAAACAGGCATTCCGAGTTCCAATTGTAAACTCAACTAATCACAAAAGCTCAAACCCACAATTTATATCCAACGGATCACCAAATTCATCCAAATACCAGTGAGATTGAGGAACAATACAGCCATAGAAGAAACTCGCCTCTAAGGAACAGCCGATCGTGGTGACGATGGCGGCGGTGAGGTAGGAGCGGGTGATGATGGGCATCTGCTTGTACCATTCTTCGACTGCTTGCGCCATATCTCTCAGATTCTTTAGGTTTATCCCAAAACTTATAAACAGCCGGGCACGGAGCGATGTAATGGACAAAGATCTGACAGGGCGAAGATCACAATTTCTGGTTTTCAATCCAGATTTATCGCGAAGAAGAATACTGCCGATTTTGCCTTTGGGCGATAAGCACGACGACGGGCTATATAGCGCGTGTGTGGCCAGACAAAATAGAAGACACTGTGACGAATCTGAACCAATTAAAATGCTCCGTGGTGTTAAAGCGGAGTCAATTGCGTGGCATATCTACTTCCTTCCGTGCTTTGTAAAAACATACCACCATCCTTCACACGCAAAAAAAGAAAACATCAACATAGAGTGAGTGCCACCACACGAGTGCTACCATGGATGCACCCATGCAAACACAGACGATAGTTGTTTGTGCGACACAGACAATTATCGTCTGTGTTTGTCTGTGTGAAGCATGGGTGCACCCATGGTAATACCCATGTGGTGGCACACTAGCATTTTCCCAAAAAAAACATTTAACCAATTTCAGGAGCTGATTTTAACGCCGGGGGCGATAAACACCGCCCCCCATCGGCTTCATTCGGGCGTGAGACGCCCAACGTCATTCGTTTGACGCGTTTGCGTTCCCTCCTTTTTAGCCATTACCCCTCCCCCCAATGGCTATATAGCTGTTACCCCATCCCCCCTCCCCAAAATAAAAAAAATCAAAATTTAAAGAAAACCTAGAAATTCCTCTAAAAAAATCTTTCTCTCACACATCTCACTATCTTCTCTCTAAAATATTTATTATTTATTATAAATATTTATAAAATATATTTTAAAAATGGGTTCATCTTCATCCGACGATGAAAAAAGAGCTCTTATTTTTCGTTATTTTGCCACGAGTTGTATTCAATGGTGGGAAGATGGCGAAGAAGAAGAAGCTGAATTCTCCCGACGACAACATTTAAACCGGGATCAAGCGGCCGTCCACGCTTCACTTCTAAACGACTACTTTAATACTCCATGTGTTTATACACCGGAGGATTTTAGTAATCGTTTCCGGATGAGTCGTCCTCTTTTTTTACGTATACTCGCAGATGTTGAACGCGAGGTTCTTGGGTTCACCCAACGCACTGCCCGCTCCGTTAGATGGCGTACGTGACGGCATCTAATATGTTCGATGAATACTTGAAGATGTCGGCTCGGAGCATCAGGTCCTGTGTTTATAAATTTTCTAAAGTTATTATTCAAATTTATCATAAAAGATATTTACGCAAACCTACAGCGAGCGACATTCAGCAGTTACACGCAAGGCATGCCGTTAAACACGGCTTTGTCAGCATGCTTGGGAGTATTGATTGCACGCATTGGGAATAGAAAAATTGTTCCACTGCGTGGCACGATCAATTCTCCCGGGGAGATCATCTCAAACCTATTATCATGCTCGAAGCTGTTGCTTCAAATGACTTGTAGATTTGGCACACTTTTTTCAGTGTTGCGGGCTCGAACAACGATGTCAACAATCAATCGCCTATTTTTGGCGATTGGATTAATGAGACCACACTCAACTTGTCTTTTGAGCTTAGAGGGACGCTTTACAAGTGTGGATATTATTTGGCCGATGGAATATATTCAGATTATTCCACGATTGTCAAATCCCTCTCCGAACCAATAGGTCTTAAACGCCAGACCTACAAAAAGCTCAAGAAGAGGCGAGAAAAGATATTGAACGAGCCTTCGGGGTCTTGAAGGGTAAATGATACGTTCTAGATCGACCGTTGAAATGTTATTCTCAAACGAAAATGAGGAATATCATGTATGCATGTATTATTCTTCATAATATGATCATAGAGGACAACGAGACTGCGATTTGTCAATACAACCCGGACGAGAAAGTGTCTATGTACGAAGAAATCAATGAAGAAAAGAAACGAAGAAACCGCCAAGAAATTCGAAGCTGAGAGATTCACAATGCACTAACGGCGGATTTGATCAAACATATATTTAGTCGCTCGAATAATTAGTAATTTCTTTGTAGTGTTGTTGTCTTTTATGTAATATTTTTTTAATGAATGTATTTTTTTATGAATGTATTTTTTATAAATGTAATATTTTTTTAATGAATGTAATCTTTTTAATGCACTAGTCTCATTGCGATTAATTTAAATAATAAATTAATTAAAATTTATTAATTTAAATTTAAAAGATGTATATTTAAAAAGTGTAAAAAATGAAGGTTTGAAGCCCCGGGGCTTCAAACCCATTTCCCACTAAATCTGTGAAGTAAGTTAAAGCTGACGTGGTAAAAAGAAATTTTTGAAGCCCTTGGGCTTCACGAGTATTTCCAGTGCTCTCACTAAATTCATATATTTAAATTAATTCTAAAAAAACAACCTCGAACACTTCATAAAACAAAAAGTGATATGTTATTTTATAAAAAATAACAAGATTTTAAATTATTCATGAGTATTTGATACACTTTTTAATGTTCGAGAGTAAATCGTATAATTTGCGATGAGCTTGGGGTAAACGATGTAATTTTAATGTTCACGGGTAAGTCGTCGGAGGTAAACGGTACACTTTTCTCTTTCTTTAAATATAGTGCAAAAAATGTTACATTGAAACCAAATTGATAATGTATTGTGATTCTTGAATTTATTCAAATTCTACCGCCCTCCCACGAAGAAAGCATCTTATCAATAACAAACACTTTCTTGTCAGTTTGGTTGTAGAAGCAATCATCATTACTTCCCTTAAACAATGTTTGGTTTGTGAAATTCGAAACAAAAAAATAATAATTTTATCTTTTTTTCCTCACCGAAAGGGAAAAATCAATTTTCTTCTTCTTAGTACATTTCTTTTCCGATTTTCTTTTCCTTCAATTTTTCTCTTTTTTTCCTCTCAAACAAACAAAAAAAACTAATTTCTCTCCCATTTTCATTTTTCTCTTATTAAATTCTTTGAACCAAACATAATGTTTATGTATACCACAAAAAATTATTTCTCGAATTTGACGTCAAGTATACCATGTAGCATTAGACTTCTCACAACTCATTCTTAATACTTATTATTTTTTCTTATTGGAATCAGATCAGACCAGATCCAGTTAGATCAGAAACAATTTTAAATACTCCGTATAACTATATTCTGATCAGACCATATCCGATCAGAACTTATTCTAATCAAATCAGACCTATTCAGATCAGGTGAAGAGAACATGACCTAAGTTGTCGTTAGACTCTGGTATGATGGAAGAAAAATGGGGTGATAGGGTCTTAAAGTGTATGATATGAAATGATAGAAAAATGTATGAAAGTATAAATTAGTTTCTGTTGAAATATTGGAATATTAATATTGCTCCTTTAATTATGGAATACATGATAAAGTATATATAGGAGAGACTCCTAACACAACTAGGAATAGAGAATGGAAACTAACTAACATACAACATCTACGACAAATAGGATTAGAAAGCTGACTAATAATGAAACATTACCATAACCAATACTACAAGAAATACTATTAATATTATTGTCTAACATCCCCCCTCAAGTTGAACTCTGGCTGAAGCAAGAGGAAGCTTGGACACTAGCTGGAAACAGGAAACTTTGAGAAGAGAGAAGTCTGACATGTGTCGGTGGCTGCTCACATCGTTGGAGAAGAGAGAAGTGTGACGCGCGTTGGTGGCTGCTGACGTCGTTGGAGAAGAGAGAAATCTGACGCGCGCTGGTAGCTGCTGACGTCGTTGGAGAAGAGAGAAGCCTGACGTGCGCTGGTAGCTGCTGACGTCGTTGGAGAAGAGAGAAGCCTGACGTGCACTGGTAGCTGCTAACGTCGTTGGAGAAGAGAGAAATTGACGTGCGCTAGTAGCTGCTGATGTCGATGAAGATGAGAGAAGGTTGACATGCGCTTGTAGCTGCTGACGTCGAAGAAGAATAGAGAAAGCTACTGGAGGTGCCTGTTTGACTGAAGATCCTTGACATTTTTTGTCTTTTTCTTGGATCCGGGCAATGCCCTATTTCCTTCTTGAAGGGGTGAGTTGTAGAGGTCTTATTTCCTCTTTCACTACTTCCCCTCTNTGGTGGCTGCTGACGTCGTTGGAGAAGAGAGAAGCCTGACGTGCACTGGTAGCTGCTAACGTCGTTGGAGAAGAGAGAAATTGACGTGCGCTAGTAGCTGCTGATGTCGATGAAGATGAGAGAAGGTTGACATGCGCTTGTAGCTGCTGACGTCGAAGAAGAATAGAGAAAGCTACTGGAGGTGCCTGTTTGACTGAAGATCCTTGACATTTTTTTGTCTTTTTCTTGGATCCGGGCAATGCCCTATTTCCTTCTTGAAGGGGTGAGTAGTAGAGGTCTTATTTCCTCTTTCACTACTTCCCCTCTTGGCTTTGCTTTTGTGCTGATTTACTTTGGATTTTTAATGATTCAACAGAAGAGAAAGAGAAGGGAGATTGATGATTGGAATGAGTGATTTTAAAGAGAAAAAGTAGGTTAAGAATTGGTGATGGAAAAAAAAATTTGGGTTTGAGATTTTGATGTGGTGAATTGAAGAGAAACAACAATCATTTTTTTTCCTTTTTTTTGAGATCTGAGAGAGTTTGTGAGGAGTTGAGTTTCTTTTTTGAAGAACCATAGAGATGACAAGAGAGAAGTTCCTCATTCGATAGTTTTTTTTGTGTGATTTCAATAGGAGTTTTTTCCTTTTTTTTCATTTGAATGGAGAAGTTGATTTGAAGATAAAGAAGGAAAAGAAAATAGAGGTGAATAGGGTGGAGCCGCCGTCGCTGGAATTACTAGCAGCGGCGGCGGGAGCAAAGAACTTTTTTTTTAGGTCACCAAGAGCGGTGGCTCCGATACCATGTTGAAATATTGGAATATTAATATTGCTAAAAGAGTTCTAATATTTCTACATGGTATCAGAGTCATCGTTCTTGGTGACCTAAAAGAGTTCTTTACTTTCGTCGCCGCCGCCGGTAATTCTGGCGACGGCGGCTCCACCATATTCACCTTTATTTTCTTTTCCTTCTTTTATCATCGAAATAACTTCTCCATTCAAATGAAAAAAAACTCATGTTGATTCACACACAAAAACCATCAAAGGATGAACTTCTCTCGTGTTATCTCCATGGTTTTTCAAAAAAACCCCAACTCCTCACAAACTTTCTCAACTCCTCCTATCTTCTAAAAAACGATTGTTGTTTCTATCAATTCAACATATCAAAATCTCAGGCCCAAATCTTTTTTCATCACCAATTCTTAATCTACCTTTTCTCTCTAAAATCACTCATTATAATCATCAACTTCCCTTCTCTTTCTCTTCTGTTGAACGAATAAAAATCCAAAGTAAATTGGCACAAAAGCAAAGCCAAGGGGGAAGTAGTGAAAGAGGAAAGAATACCTCTACAACTCACCCCTTCAAGAAGGAAATAGGGCATTGCCCGGATCCAAGAAATAGAAAAAGAATGTCAAGGATCTTCATTCAAACAGATACCTCCAATAGCCTTTTCTGTTCTTCTTCGTCGTCAGCAGCTACAAGCGCACGTCAACCCTTTCTCTCTTCTCCAAAGACATCAGCAGCTACCAGCGCACGTCAGATTTATCTCTTCTCAAAGTTTCCAGTTTTCAGCTACTGTCCAAGCTTTCTCTTGCTTCAGCCAGAGTTCAGCTTGAGGGGGGATGTTAGACAATAAAACTAATATTACTTCTGGTAGTATTGGTTATGGTAGTGTTTCATTATTAGTCAGCTTCCTAATCCTATTTGTAGTAGATGTTGTATGTTAGTTAGTTTCCATTCTCTATTCCTAGTTGTGTTAGGAGTCTCTCCTATATATACTCTATCATGTATTCCATAATTAAAGGAGCAATATTAATATTCCAATATTTCAACAGTTTCATTAGTTAAAAATTTTTTAAAAAAAATTAAAAAAAACGAAGCAAAAACCCCTCCTTTACCCAGTGGTCACCCCCCTCCGACATGGTGCAGCGCCCGATCACCTCACCACATCAGCCGTCACGCACCCCCATCACCTCTTGATGGGTGTATTTCACCCAAGACCGGTCAAAGGAGAAGGCCAAATCTTTGACCGGTCAATCTCGAAAGTTTTGGAAGGGAGACTTAAATCGTCAGCAAAACGATATGTCATCGACCAAAATTTGACCGGTACACTTCACAAAAAAGTATACCGGTCAAACTACATTATCATCCTATTTATTCCAGACTTCGATGAATTCACCTCTCGGAGATTACCTGGTGTAGTTTCTGAGGTTGGAAAGTGTCGGCAGAGGAGAATCTATGAGGGCTTGGCGTGTAGCGACCTGTGTCAGTAGAGGACGACTGGAGATGATGAAGAATCCATCCAAGGCACTACCTGACAAAGGGAATAATCCCCCTCACAAGGCGACAAGGTAGCTAAGAGACGAGGCCCATCACCTCTCAACATCCGAGACACGTGCCTCCACGTGGGCGCACGTGGTCATGTCCCCTTAGCCTAGTATAAATACTCATGTAAACCTCAGAAAGAGGGATCCGAATTCATTCTCTCTAAACTCCCTTGTAAAAGCACCCGTGCATACTCCGTTATAATATAAATCGGGCTACAGGTGTTCCACCTAAAGTCCTACCGGTCAATCTGCGTGCTTTTACCTTTCTTACTTTGCCAAATCCAGCAAACTATTCTAGACCCGGTCTAGTATAGTTTGACCGCTCAAGTAATTTACACTATCATTTTTGGCGCCACCCGTGGGACTCTTAAGGTTTCTTCTCCTAAACACAAACCTACCCACCAAAACACCACTCGAAATGTCTTCCAGCCAACAAATCAACGCTACTTCCGCTCAGGTGCAGGCCACCAACGAGGGAGCCAGCATCCCTGTGGCTGCTACCATACCGGTCATTTCAGCCCCGGTGTTGCCTCTGGGTCTGAGCTCTGTCCCGACGGCCAGCGTGATCAGTCCCTTCGTGACCCTCGTCCCTTCCGCTGGACCGAGGGTAACGTTCCCACCAAGCATGACTCAGTTCATGAATGACCCAGCCAACCTACAAGCCATCCAGGGCTTCGGCCAGGTCATGGCCATGTGCCAGCAGAACGGGGGGATGCCTTTCCTCCCTGGTATGTTCCCATTCGCCCTTCCAGGCGCGGGGACCATGCTTCTACAAGCTCCGATGACGGTGACGTCGTTCCAGATGCCGATGCCGCAACCATCACCTTTCCAGCCCCAGCTGGTCAGCACCACGGCCCCTGTCAACTTGACCGGTGCACTTAACGCTGCAGGGCCGTCGCGTCCCCCGCAAGCTACGGATCCGCAGATCACTCCTGACGGTCATTGCGTCTCGATTGAGAGCGATGACGACGAGTGGGACATCCCGAGGGCCCACAAGAAGAAGAAAGGAAAAAACATCCGGCCAGCGACCTCCCGAAACTCCGCCTTCGAAAGGCTGGGGGATAGGGAGGAAGGCCAGAGGAAGTCAGCCAAGCAGAGGCTGGGGCAGAGTGTTGCCCATGTCAGCGCATTCGCCCGGCTAGGCGAGGTGCGGCCTGCCCGCACCCGGCGCTCCCGGTCTAACTGGCAGGAGCCAGCGAGGACAAGGGCCTCCCACCAGGAAGGGGAGGCAGAAAGCCAGCCCAGGTTACCGGTGGCGAACCGGTTAACCATCCCAAACGACCGCGTCCAGCAGATGGAGGCAAAGCTGGAAAGGCTGGAAAAGAAGGTCGGGGAGAAGAATGACCGGGACAAACCCCTGTCAGGGTCCCCGTTCACCACAAGGGTCCATCTGACACCTTTCCCGCGAAAGGTCAAGATCGACGCCCCCAGATTCACCAGGAAGGAAGATCCGGAAATCCATCTGGACTCCTTCAACCAGAGTGCGACCATGAACGGTTGCACCGATGAAGAAAAGTGCCTTCTTTTCTTCCAGACCTTGCGGAACCGAGCCACTGAATGGTTTAATAAGCTTCGCCCGGGAAGCATTGATTCATTCAGTGATTTGGCCTCAAAATTCAAGGCCAAGTTCCAGGAGAATTGTACTAAGAGGAAGAAATTCACCTATCTTAGTACAGCCGGGCAAAGGGAGTCTGAGAACCTTACTCAGTTCCTTACCCGGTGGAAGGAAGAGGTGGACAAGGTGGAAGAGATGGATGACAAGACCGTCCTATCCCTCCTCTTGAATGGCTTGCGTGCTGGGGAACTATACAAGGAGTTCTGCCGGAAACCCCCAGCCACGTACCAAGAAGCCTACCATACTGCATGGGAGTTTGCTGAAGCCGAAACCCAGCTCCGGGCAAAAAGAGAAGCTGAACATGGTCACAAGCCCAAGCCGGTGCAAGTCAAGAAGGAAGAAGCACCGGGACCTAACCGGCCGAGGCACCACTATGACCCGGTCATCCGAGTGGTCAATACGGAGGAATGCCAAGAAGTTCGGAAAGCACCGGTCATTCCCCCAGAAAACCCTACCGGTCAGGTAGGGCGGCAGTGGTCAGGCACCTATTGTTCGTACCACAGGTCAGATTCCCATAACACCTCCGAATGTAAGAGTGTCAAGGGAGTAATCCGGCAGATGATCGACAGTGGAGAGCTGGGCAAGGATTACTTGCAGAAAGCCCAAGAGAAGAGTCATCAGTGGGTTAGGCCAGCTGCCCCAGGGAACGACCGGGACAATGACCGACGGAGGAATAACCGGCCAAGGGAGCGGCAACCTGCCCCCGAAAAGGAACACATCGGTGGAAGACCCTCCAGACCCAGCTGCCATAGTGGAAGACCCTCCCGGTGTAAGGATCCCCGCGCATGAGGACTTCAAGACTCGCCTCCAAGTCAGGGGAGGAAGCCGGTGCAGCGTACTCTTGGTCAAGGAGATGGTCATTCCTATTCAGACTGGCCAGAGGAGTGAAGAAGGGGGGAAACTCGATGAAAACAAACTTTTCCTTCCATCCCCGGTTACTCTGGGGGACTTCAGAAATGAACTTTCTACCGGTGCGGGCTTTGAAGAATACAAAGCCTTCGCAGCCAGCCCCGCCCGGTAGGACTTCGAAGCAAAAAAGGAAGAGACGCAAAGAAGGGAATATTTTCAGATGGGTGCAAATATTTACGAAGGAATGAAGGTACCGGTGGGCGTTAGGAGTGATTTGGCCGGGCAAAATCCTAAACGCATGGCAAACCTCAGTAAGGAGGGGGCGAAGGAGAAAAACTATGCCCGCATCCAGGGAAATAGTGTGGAACCCTATCCTATCCTCCCGGTGGGGTTCAACGATATTGGGCCAGTTAGGTTCGTAGAGGAGGGTATACCCATCCGGAAGCCTCCTACGGATTTTGTTCAGGGCAATTTTAGATACACGGGAATGTATGTCAAGGACGTAGAAAGTGGGAAGCGGAAAGTAACCGGCAGCATGAAGCCGCTCCTCCCACGCATCCTGGGTTTCGTGTTCAGGGTCATAGGGGCCCGGTTCGTCATCGACCGGGTCATCCCTCCCCACAAAAGTTTCACCGGGCACCTGATTTACAGGATGCGGGTCGGGAATGGAGGAGTTGGGAACCTGACCGGGCGTAGATTCAGGAGAAGAAGACCCGGTCGAGGAAGATGAGTTGGAATCCTCAGAGGAGCAGTCCTATGAGGACGAGATCCTATCGCTAGACGAAGACATGGCCGGGAAAGAAAAAAGAGAAGGAAGGGGGAACTTACTTGACTCGGAGGGCTGGATAGCGAAAGATAAGGGACTTGACCGGTGAAAGCTCTAGGAGGTGAAGTACGAAAAGTGAGAAGTGAAAGGGGTTGGAGGCCTTTATATAGGAGAGGGGAGGCCAAAAGTAGGCGACGTGGCGCCTTGAGATTGCGCCACAACGGGCGGCGCAATGATGGTACTTGGCAGACGAAACGACGTGTGGGTAGCCGACCGTTGCAACGGCTGGTGTCCGACACGTGGCGAGTTCTTTCAAATTTGAAATTCAAATTCGTTGAATTTTTCAAGCGGGAAGAGCCAGAAATTTAAATTTAAGAGTCCTGTTTTAGGCTTTTTACTTCCCGCTCATGACAAATTGCATGACCGAGAAGTGGAGGGCTTATTGATGGGTGTATT